AAAATATCAAGTATGAAATCATGATCTCCTTTATGTTAGTTGCAGCCAGTGAGAATACATCCTATTTACCTTTTACTAAGTCTGAATGAGAACTAATTTTTGGCTTTTTGCTTTCAGTATGTATTTGGTAATTTAAGCCATCTCAGATTTACATGGGAAAAGAAAATAACACTTATTGAATGCACAAATCCACTGGCACTGTGCCAGACTATCAAAAAAATTTGCTTAATTGTCTCAGAAGCTCTGTAACAAGAGTCTAAGATTCAGAGTATTAAAAAATAAAATTATCCATGTATTAGTGGCTTGTGCCTGTAATCCTAGATACTCAGGAGGGTGAGAACTGGGGATCAATACTCAAAGCCAAGCCCCTAGGCAGAAAAGTCTGAGACTCTTATCTTCAATTAACCAGCAAAAAGATGAAAGTGGAGGAGTGGCTTAAATGGCAGTCTGCCAGCCTTGAGGGAAAAAAGCCTAAAGGAGAGTTGAGTTCAAGCCCCCAGTACTGGCACAAATAGAAAAATCAAAATGAAATTAATTTTAGGTCACCTGGCTAAGAAATAGTGGAAAAGGGATGTCACCATGTTTGTCTAATTCTAAAACCCTTGCCTTTCATTAATATGGTCTTTAGGCAAGTAATGCACCTACCTCTGTACCAGAGGTAGAGTTAAACTCCAAGGAAGTGTCTATTTCCTCAAAGAACTTATAGTCTAGAAGGGGGAAGATTGACTGAACCATCAATAAAATGAATAATTTGGGTATAGAAGGCATGAGACCAAGGTTCAGCTGTAATGGTGGTCAGGGAGGACTTCATTGATTTATGGAGGATGAGTCAGGCAGGAGAAGGGAGAGAGATGGTTCTACCTATCTATCTATCTATCTATCTATCTATCTATCTATCTATCTATCTATCTATCTGTCTGTCTAATCATCTACCAATCAGCACACCAGTGTATCATCCACTATCTAGCCTTTGTCCTATCTATGTATTCATCTATCTTGTCCATCCATCTATCATCCACCTACCCATTGATATGACTATTTGAGGAAATGCAGTGGAATGATAGATATGTAGAGGATGAAACTGGAGAGTTAGATAGAAGTTGTATGTGGAGAAATCATATGAAGATTGAGTTTTAGCTTCCCTTCTCCAGGTGTTGATGAGTATAATTTTAGACCTATTTTTAGGAAGATGATGAACTTAAGTTTTAATTTCTAACATCTGGGATCAATTTCATGAGCAAGAGATGTGGCCACTTGCACTACATCCTGTATTCTGAAGACTCCACATGGAATTTAATGTCCTGCTACCATCATCTATAAATGCTTACTTTTTGAACAATGGTTTCTCTTTTGAATTTACATTGGACCTTCTAAATGATGTAGCTGGTCTTGCTGGCATCTTTTCTGAAGGGGACAAAAACCAGAGAACAGTAAGAAACAAGAAAAGTCAGGAGTTAGTGCAACAACCAGAAATGAGAAATAACAGGACTCACTGCACAGCCCTGGCAGTGAGATCAGTGGAGCAGAAGAGGAAATCAATATCAGGTGTTTGAAAAGAGAAGATTCAGTGAGAATCAATTCAGTGAGAGGCTTAGGAAGAAGGAGGGATGTAGGGATTCATCTTTAGAGTATCCTATAGCATTTGGGAGCTAATGGTCTCAATTTGGTGAGAAATAGAGTTCAGTAGTCCTACAGATGTACAAACAGAGTAACCATGCTACTTTGTAGGGAACTACCTGAATACTCTCAGAAGCTCCCATCAAAATGTCTTTTAATGAGTCCAGAGGCCTGTGATATTATAGGTACATAAAGATAGAGATTTGTGATGTTTTTGCTTTACAGAAAGTGAGTAGAGACAATTAGTAGAACTATTTCTATGACTAAGAATACTAGAATTACCCTTTCCATATAGTTCACCTATCTGTAGTTAAAAAAAAGAAAGAAAGAAAGAAAAGAACAAAAAAAGAGAACTATGAAATTCCTTAAAGGTCTTAGCACAGAGTTTATTGATGTATGAGTGTTTAAGTAGATAGAAAGACAGATGGAAACAAACAGAAAGACAGACAGAACAGACAGAATCACAGGTAAGGAAGAACTTCACCCATTGATTTTCTTAAGGGAATTCAGTTTCTACTGTGATAAAGGTGGGTGGGTGGAGAGGTGGATGGATGGATGGATGGATGGAAGGAGGGATGGATGGATGGAATGACAGTTAATGATAGATGTTTTGTTGGACATATAGGTTGTTCCAGGGTGCTGCTGCTATGGATGTCTGTCTCATCCTAGCAAGGTCATCATCTGGGCCAGAGTCATCAAGAGGGTCCAGGACTTTGACCTTCAGACAGAGTTCTGGCACATATGGATTGTATTTCACATTTTAATGACCGGAAAAAGGAAAGCTAACCTTAATGAGCTCTGGTAATATCACTTGAGATAATTTAGGTAAAGGTATTCTGTATATTAGAATATGGCTTACAAGTGATGGAGATATTACGTGTGTGTGTGTGTGTGTGTGTGTGTGTGTGTGTGTGTGTGTGTGTGTGTGTGTGTGTAAACTTGGGTCTGAATCCAGGGCATTGAGCTTTTCTTTTTTAATTTGAAAAGCTGTGTTAATGAATTAGAAGACACATATGAATTTGTGGGCCTACATGAGTTCTATTATAATGGATACTGATGTGACTAGGTTTGATCTAAGCTCCCTTCAGAAGACTGGGGGTCTTGTGAAGACTTGCTGGCCTGTGGGCTACAGCCACCCATGCTTACAGATGGCTGCTGATGACATTGAGCTCTTGAAGCACCATGCTCAGATCCTCGTGGAGCCTTACCACCAATGCTTTTCATCTTCTCCAGCAGAGTTCAATGGAGTTGCTTGCCTTGGACCCTGTAGGCAAGCCCTGGATTGTCTGAAAACTAAAAGAAGACATAGAAAGGATATAATCTGCAGTGGGGGTGTAAAATGCAACCCAGCTGCTACTGGGAATCTGACTGGCTTTCTTTTCAGCAGAGTTGGAATCATCTGGAAGAATTTCCTGCAGATTGTAGGTTTTTTTTCTTTCTTGCTATTGTTTCTAACTACTTATAAGGTACCATGTAATTTTTTTTGTTGCTTTGTATGTTCCTCCCCCACGGTATAAACCCTGTTTTCACTGAATTGGATGTCAGTCTAATTTGGGGAGGGGAAGGGAAAAAACAAAATGTTTAAGTAGGGATACAGGTTGACTCATTGTAACAATGAGATGTACAAGACACTATATTGAAAACGAACTTTACAATATAGATGGGGGGGAGTATAGTTGTGGAGTTGGGAGGGAAGGGATGGTAGGGGAAAAACAAAGGAGGAGGCAGCAATGCTTGATAGGAAATGTACTCATTACCTTGCTCATGTAACTGTAACCCCTCTGTACAGTATTTTTACAATAAAAAACTTATTAAAAAAAGAATTTCCTGCAGATTGAGGCTGTCATATTCCTTCTCATCAGAAGACACTGGGCTCCTGAGAGTGAGATGGTGGTGAGACCTGGCTGCTTTATCTCTGTGCTTAAAGATGATCTCTGATGAGGCACAGTCCTGGAAGGCCTGGACAAGATTGGTGGCAAGTGAGGCACTGACTTCCCTGGAGGGGCTGAGTCAGGAGTTGACACTGATAAAGTAGAAAAGGAGGCTGTTCCTTTGGCAGGAGTTGCAACACATGTGACCAAGGTCCTGAAGTGTTCCTCTTCTGCTTGCTTGTGCTGATTTATGAAGGTCCTTACTGATTTCAAGCTCTTTTACTAGACTTAATGTTTTGAAAGAGGGAGAGGCATAAAGTATCTCTACAGAGGACTGGTGATAGAAAGTAGAATCTGACTTTGATGTCCTTAAATTGGAGCTGATGGCCTCTTCTTTACTTGATGGCCATGAAGTTGTCAGTGTTTCAAAACATTTTGTGGCTTTCTTTGTGTCTTTGGGGATTTCCTGTTAAAGTATCTATAATGACATTATCTGACCTCTTGTCCAAATTCACGTTTGTCTGCCAAGATGGGCTTTTTTCAGAGGAAGCAGGCACAACATCCATATCCCAGAGGTTTCTGACTTCAGCCTCTCCTCCAACAACCTTGTAGTTGCAAGGAGGTATCGTTTGCCAGACTGGCTTTGGATCCTGATCATAAAGCAGTACCAGCTCCTCTGCTGACTTCCAGGCTTTCCTCTTGAGTGTCAGCACTCTCTTGGACAGTGGGGCTTTACCCACTGCAGGTCCTGGCACTGCTCTGGTACCATTCCCACCTTGAAAGCATCTTTTTTATTGTATAGTCTTGAAGCTTTAAGAAGCTCATGCTTTTCTCTTATGCAGCAGTTTCTGGTGAGGAGAAGGAAACACAAGCCGTTGGTAAGTTACTAGGAAATCTTTTAAGAAATGCCATGAAAGGAGGCACCCCATCTAGTCCAACATGCCACTTCTCTCTCATTAGACAGCCATCGTCATCCATCAGCAAAGCTATGAATTGGTTAGACTTCTGCCAACTCCAATGGCCTTGGTCTTTTCCAGCTTAATCTATATGTTGAAACTTGTTTAACATTTGAAGATTACAGAAGCCCTCCCTGTGATGCTGCATAACTTTTTTGATTTCATTCTTGAGGAGATAATCCATTAGAGGAAGAGATTTAAATACATGGTTCCAGTTTTTCCCATGGTCACTGAGTCTCTGAGAGTGAAATCGTGTTAAAAGTCAGGTTATACAGGACCCCCATGGGTTATTAGAAGTCTCTTCTCTGATTTTTATTTTAGCATCTGAGTAATTTTTCACTTGCCTCCCAAATGCCAAAGGTAGGCCCAGTTTGAAGGAGAGATATGGGATAAGAGCAATGGAATAGGATGATTGGTTTACAGAACTTTTGAACAGCAATTAGCTCCCCAGTACTGCAGCTCCCAGATACAAAGATTACTCTCTATGTCGAAAAAGTATTAATTTCCTGCAAGGAAAGTACAAAAATATGTGTGCTAAATATTTTTCTTAATGTCTACAAGTATGGATTGCTTCACAAATTTGTGTCATCCTTGCACAGGGGCCATGCTAGTCTTCTCTATATCATTCCAACTTTAGTATATGTGCTGTCAAAGGAAGCATCAAGCTTTCTTGTCAGGCTGCCAAGATACTGCTGAGCCTTGTTTTTTACTGGTCATTTTTTAGGATAGGGACCCCCGAGGTACACACCTAACCTATGATCCACCTAATTTATGATTCCTGTCATTGTTGGGATGGCAGGCATTTGCCATCATGTCTAACTTCCCTCGGTGGAGAGGGAAGACCTGGTACCTAGATCCTTCCAATCTTAGTCTCCCATTTAGTTTGAGATGACAGGCATGCGCGACTATACTCAGTTATGGGTTAAGAAGATGTTTCTCAAACTTTTCTGCACAGGTGTCCTTGAACTGTGATCCTCCCATCCTCAGAATTCAAAGTAGTTAGGATTATAGGTGTGAGCCACGAGTGCTCAGTGCTTTCCTCATTTCGATGCAACTGAAGAGAACTTTCTATGGAGGAACAAGCAATTGTACAGAAGCAAGACTGCAGTGGTACTCATTGCCTCCTGTGTGGGAAACAGGTATGAAGGCCTGGAATATGTCTGATGTAGATGCCTCCTTTTAGTTAAAGGAGGCAGATGCATGAAGCTGGTGGTGACTCCTGATTTACAGCCTGTCTAATTTCATTTTTATGGTTGATGTTCTGACAAAACCAGACTCAGGAAGTCAATTCTACTCATCACTCAAGATTCTAAACAGCTCTATACATGAAGGCACAGTATCATCCATAGCTATTTCCCCCATAATTTAAAAACTAGCACTTTGTATCCATATGTCCTATAGTATATTTCTTTTTCTTTCTCTGGATTTTTTTTGGGGGGGTCCAGTCGTGGGGCCTGAACTCTGGGCCAGGGCACTGTCCCTCAGCTCTTCAGCTCAAGGCTAGCGCTCTACCACTTGAGCCACAGCGCCACTTCCTGCTTTTTTCTTTTTGCTTATGTGGTGCTAAGGAATCGAACCCAGGGCCTCATGCATGCAAGGCAAGTGCTCTGAATCACCTTCCCAGCCCCCTCTGGATTTTTTTATATTTCAAAATCTTGATTTCAAACCTGTGCTATAAAGCATTTTCTGGGAAGACGATGAGACGTATTTGACTGTGCCTGTGTGCAACTGTTTTCTCTTGAATGAAAATAGGGTAAAAAACAAAACAAAACCCCCAAAATCAAAACAGAAAACACCATAACAAAAAACAAGTCACATAAATTCATATTTTTCTGGATTTTATGACCATTCTCTCTCTGTCTCTGTCTGTCTGTCTATGTCTCTTTCTTGCTCTCTTCATAGCTGGAATGGCCTCACAGCTGATGTAATTAAATGGTCTCATTTGTAGATGGAAAGGCCCATAAATGCTAAATGATTTATTTAAGGTGTTCAGCATCTCAGTAGCTACAGATAAGAACAAAACTAGTATCTATGCTTTTCTCTTTCTGATTCAGGGCTTTCTGCATCACACTTGGTGACCTGGGAACAGGGCCTCTCCCTGCTCCCCGCCCTAGAGTATAGTTTCCCTTCCCTGCATAGCAATGAGAAAGAGAATTGGTTCATTTCTTTAAAATTAAATAGAAAATTATATTCCTTATGGTTAAAATATTTTTTGTAATAGCTATTTTTATGAGTCCATGCTTATGTCTGAATTTAAAATCAGTATATTTAAATAAGATGTGCTTGTTACTTTTATTTGTAACTGTTCCATAAGTTTTCTTTCCAGGCATATGTTTTTATTGGAATAGTTCTTTTTTTCTACAAAAGATATTACTAACATGTCTTATTTTTCCTTAGCCTTATTTATTTTAACAGTAAAGTAGAAAATTTTATCCATTTGCATGCATTCTGAGGATGTGTGTGGGAGAATTGTCTTTCCCTACCCTGCTGGTTGTCACTTAATTGGTCCCATCTGTCTGACCTTGGTGTGCCCTGATAGAATACATTCTTCTGCCAATTATTAGTCCATTTTCATGTGAAGAAGCACCATTAATGGCTACTAGCTTTGTTGGGAGAAGTTAAGGAAATAGACGCTAAAAGCAACTAAAACTGAAGATGGTACTTTCAGAAGGGAATCTATTAGGTATTGACAAAGGAAAATAGATTTGGAGTATGAGACATTTATAGATAAGGCTTTTTCCTAGTTCCTACAAGACCTTTACTCTTGACTGCATGAATACATCAAAGCAAAATTGGTAGAGCAATTGGGAAAACTGTAAAGGAATACAGGACAGAGAAAAAAATTGGAACAAATTTTTCTGCCTTGGCCTTTCAGACGAGTTGAGTCCTGTGAAAAATCTCTATTACCTCTACTTCTTCCTAACCTTGACCATGGTTCTCTTTTTCCTGTCAGTGGTTCAGTCCTGGCTCTGCCCTTGGCTAGTCACATGATTATGGGCTGAACATTGCTTTGCTTCTTAGTCTGTAATATGAAAATATTTAATATGTGTAAACACTTAGGACATTGACTAGCTCAGGAGGAGTCTAACAAAGATGGCACTATTTTGGTTTCCTGCTTGATTTTCCGTGTTTTAGCACCATGCTCAATTCAGTGCAGAGCTTTGACAAATGGGGTTTTCTAGTGACTTTAGGACAGCAGCCATCTGAAGCATCCATCATGCAACTTGGAGATTGGTGATCACAGCTGTGATCACATACTGAGTCCTGAATGGCTCTGCTCTCTGGTTGATGCTCTTGGCTGCAGGGGCTGGCTAGGTTGTCCCCAAACATTTTCTCTACGTGTGCTCTGCTTCTCAGGGGAAAGTGATGGCTCATGTCCATTTTGTTCATCATTTGGTTTTTCTGTACCATAAGGGCATTTTATGTTTTCATTAGTCCTATTCCGCTATATAGAATGATTTTTAATTGAAAAAACAAAACAAAGCACAAAAAAGTAATAAGCCAGAGCAAAAACAATCTCATGAAATTTCATCTCCAATTAACCAGCAAAAAGCTGGGATGGACACATAGCTCAAGTGGCAGAGCATCAGCCATGCAAACTAGCTGAGCCGGAGCATGAGACCTGAGTTAAAACCTCAGTACTGGCAAAATTAATAAATAGATTAATAATGAAGAAAAATACTTTCTATTCCAAATCCCTACCTGTGGAGATAACATTGTTTTTCATTATGCCTTTTTTAGTGTTTCTGTGGCCATCTCTCTATTTATATCTTCTGCTCATTCTAGCATTTGAAGCCTTGTTTGTTAAGATGATCTTGTCACTAACGTTTCCTCCAGAGTCAGTTTTTCTTGAGTCTCACCTTCTCAGGTGATCCTCACTGCTTGGTGACAGTAGGTGAGATTTTTCCATGAGTAACAGCATGGACCCAGGCACACTGTTTACAGGGATCATGAGGTAGAGCAGCAGTGTCCACTGATGACAGTCAATCAGTAGGAAGCTAGTTGAAATCTTCAGGTTGTCCAAATGCCAGAGAGTTGCGTTCTCTCTGAGGAAACAATAGTCAGACTGAAGGCTTAAGTTTCCCAGATGATTAATTTGTTCCTTTAGAAAGGAAACTTCCATCTTGCCTAGTGCTCCCACTGAGCTCCTAGGGCTGACGGTGACAGGGATAAAGGGTAAAGAGTGGGATGGAGAATCTGGAGTACATATTCATTCTATACAGATGTTTCCTAAGAGTGCTGCCTTGCCTTGCAAGGCAGGTGCTCTGCCACTTGAGCTAACATTATTTGGGGGACCAAGCTTTGTGTTTTTACTTAAGGCTAGTCTCAGACTTGATCCTCCTGCCTATGCCTTCTGCATAGTTGTAATTACAGACATTCACCACCATGCCCAGCTCATTGGCTGGTTGAGATGGGGTCTTGCTAACTTTTATTACATCTGGCTTCAAAGTGTACCCCTCCTGGTTTCTGCCTCCTGAGTGGCTAGGATTCCAGGTGTGGGCCACGGTGTCCAGCCACTGTACTTTCAATGAACTCTTTTCAGCCCGTTTTGGTTCCACTTCTTACTTCCGTTGAACAATAGAGAAATAGTATGTTTTAGAAGGTGATATGTGGTTCATAAGCTAATATAAAGAGCTGTGAGTGATGGAGTGAATGTGAGATAAAAATAACTTTAGGCTAGTTTCCAGTATAGATTTGACAACTACAACAATAATGTGTGAAATACATAGAATTCCAGCAACAATCTATGATTTACAAGATGTGTATATGTTGGCCAAGGAGCAAGTAAAGTTGAATGACTGAAAAGAGGAAATGTTTCCTATTGTTGAGAACGATTTCAAACAATAAATAAAGATTTAAAGAGAAAAGTGTAAGTTAGCACACTGAGGACTGGGTTAAAAATTGAGATTGGGAATCAACAGAATAATTCATGATTATTACTAGCAAATACCCCATTCAGCTTTGTAGCCTAAGAAACTGAACCCTGCATAGTCATACCCTTTGCTGCATGAAGAGATAGATGATTAAGAAGGTTAGTGACTCTAACCTTTATGTCATATCTTAATCTGTAAATGAAGACAGTCCAGGGTCATTTTATAACTTCTCATTAACCCATTTGGTCCATCTGATTCATTTCCAAGGACAAAAAGTATAATGTGATTTTAAGATGTTGACTTCAATGATTTGTCAAAGGCTGTATACAGCCTCTCAGCACATTCAGGTAACAGATTTTCCTTTTTTTAGAATTCATTTCTAAGCAGTTTCTGTTCAATTAAAATCATTCATGATCAGTAGTTTTGTTATTTTCATCTTTTTATGATATTCCCCAAACTAGCTGGATGTTGAATGCCTGTTTTCATAGTTGCTCAGAAGGCTGAGTTATCAGGATTGTGCTTTGAAGCCATCCCAGGCAATCAACCAAAAAGCTAGACTGGAAGTATGACTCAAGTGGCAGAGCATCAGCTGTTAATGAAAAAGCTCAGAGGCCTCCAGTTCAAGCCCCAGTACCAACATAAAACTAAACAAAAAATTACCCTAAAATGTTTATATTACCAGAGGATCATGTCTAAGAATTACCTTTATACAATTTTTGTCCATATTGAAAAATTCGCCACAACCATTTCCTTTTGTCTGTTAGAATTCTTAATTGTTTTCTTGTAA